ACAATGTACGTCCCTGGATGCCAGGCTGGGAAAATGACCTCGACTGGTGTGGTGTTCAACAAAACTTTCCTCAAGGAAAGCTATATTACTTCTTGTAAGTGTACTATGTACTGGTCCAGAATTTCAGAATTCACCCTAAGGCCTTCATGTCCGGGAAAATTAGGTTAGCAGCACAGAAAATGGCTGAGCAAAAAGGCGTTGTAGAAGAAAAAAACACGTTCTGTTGTTTGATGGGGAGGATTTCGGAGAACCAAGCCTTTTTGGCCGAAACAAACAACGACGACCTCGTCTCCGTCGTTGAACTCCCTCCGACTCGTCGGACGACTCGTCGGACGACTCGTCGGACGACGCGGTGAACGCCTCGTCATCGGAGGCCTCGCTGTCGCTATCGGTGTCGGTGTCGGTATCAGAGTCGCCCGTGTCCTCGGTGAGGAGAGTGACAGACACTCCGTGTCGGTGTCACCGGTGGATGGTGGCGGTGAGGCGAAACGAAGTAACTCCCATCTCAAGACAAGGATTGGCTTGCTGAATGCAGGAATCATATGGGTTTGAGACTAGGGCCTGCGGCTAGGGCAATCCTATGTCCATCCTCTTTAAGTCACCCCAAAAACATGAATGTATTGCTCGAACTTTTCTGATGGGAGGGAACCGTGTTGGAGCTTCATGAACCCTTCGAGAGAATTGCCACAGTTGGACAACCACCCCAAGGACAAATGAGCAGCAAAAACCCGGAGCAATGGGTATGAACGGTATGAACCATCGACACGACATCGCTTTTGATCACGAGTTTTACATGGTTCCGTGGAGGTTTTGCACTGGAAAAAGAAACAGACGAATCTTTGTCCAGCACTTGTCCATATGGCTCAAACATGCTTCAGAATTCCAATCGAGCTGGCGCAACTGCTACTTCCTCCTCCTTAAAAGCTTACTGCTTTATGAAACAATTTGTCTCGTGCTCCTGCACCATTTCGCCCCTCTCCAATCTCAGGCACTGAATCTCCGGTGTCGGTGTCATCCTCCTTACCTTCAGCCTCACCAGGTTGGTCGGTAGCAGATTCAGAGGTCGACATCTCCGTTGCGGAGATCAAAAAAAATCCTGGAGGTTCCGAAGTTTTGTCAAACTCCTGAAGGACTCTGATCCATATGAACTTCAGGACTCCTGGTGGCTAGTCTGAATCACTTGATAAGTCTATATGAACTTCATGGCATGCTGGCTGGTGGCTAGTTACAGTACTTGGAGCGCATCTGCGCCGCATCTTCGCCGTCCGTCCCACCTGGCGCCGCAGCTGCCGCCTCCGCTGCTTGCGCTTTTTCTTCAGGAGCCGCTTCTGTGCCTTCAAACGCCTCAACTCGCGGTCGCTGGCTAGGCCGCCTGCTCAGGTTTTTAGTGGTAGCTCTATCCGACTCTATCACCCAAAACTCTCACAGAATCTCCGCACTTCGACTCCCAACCCAGCCAACCCAACCCGAAACATGAATGGGTGTTTGCATTAAAATCGGCATTTCGGGCACTAATAGAAGCCTGCAGCTTGCCATGACCAAAAACGCCTCACTGACCTTGATAGCCGAGCATCTCCTTCAGCTTGGCGCGCTCCTCCATCTCGGCCGCCTTGACCCTTCGCCGCTCTGCTTCCACACGCTCCCACTCCTGGCAGAGCAGATCAGCTGCCGCGGCTGAAGGGTCATTGATCAAAACAATCTGGATCAACCTAATAGCAACAGCCTCCTACCTAGACGCAATGGCCTCCAGCCTAGTTGCGATGACCTCCACACAATCTCTGAATCTTGAGATTCGGCCACTCTTCCTGCAAACTGGGCCTTCAATCGTCATCCAGAGCCATATGATGCTATATGAGTATCCAGTCTTGAGGGAACATGCAAGTGGAAGATTCTGTGACCTGGGAGGAAACTCTGTTCACTTCTGTCATGGTTCGGCAGCGGGTTTTGGGGCTCGGTCTGATGAAAGGAGCTGGAAGTATAGGACACTCCGAGTTCCACAAGCTCTGGCAGGGCCACTACGATAAATCCCCAGCAGAATGCAGTAGTCATCTAATGAATAATAATGGTCAAAACCGCCAATTCCCTGCAAACTAAGTTGCCACACCCAGTAGACCATTAGAACAAGGCGACAGATTCCACAGGTAGCCCGTTCGTCTCTCCTCAATGACCTGCTTGTAGTCATCCGGCTGAAACCCGTTCCATCGATCTCGCTTACCATCGTAGTCCAAGTTCAGCTCCTTCCGTGCACATTTCTGTGCCATGTCAGTCTGATGGCTCTGCAACTCTAACAACTCCTACCTTCGAAGAAGAATGCTTGGCAGCAAAGGACATTGAGGCCAACCCCTGAACAAAGTACCAAACCATTATATACTCTACGGAGTGTCAGCAGATTCACTACAAACCGGACAAAGCATCCCGCCTCTATGGCGGAATTCATTCCAAACAAAACTGCAAGAAGTGTTTGCATGGGGGAGCTTTGACCCACTTCGCTCCATGATGTACTCATCGGGCATGAGGTTCTTCCCATTTTGCTTCGCTGTGACCGCACGTGGCCGCTCCACACAATCCTGACGAACTGCCAAAAGAGAATCTAGCCGCACGAACAGCTTTTGAAATTCTGGGCCTTCAAGAGCAGTCAAAAGTCTTATCCCCACCCACAAAGTGATTGAAGAAAGGTGGCTGATGCCAAAGAGCATTCCAACATATCTGAACATGGGAAACCTTCCCTTGGTAGGGGAAAGACTCTTGGTGGCTCCTTCCGCTCCTTCCGCTCCTTGTCTTCGTCTTTTTTTCACCCAAGTCCGCACCACGTGTTACGCGCACTGGCGCCTTCTTGGTGTGCGTGGTGGCGCCGCAGTTTTCACAAGCACCCTTGATGAACTTGGTCTTGACATCACCCTTGGTACCTCTCAGGAGTCGATGCTTCCACGGGCTGCTGAAGCAGCTACCGTGCATCAAGCGAGCTGAATGAGACATTATGATTGTTGAAGCTGGTACCCTGGACCATTTTGACCGATGGTCCAGTCACCTACACAGTACACATCCCACATCCCTTTCGCCTCGAATGTACCAGTCTCTGGTGCCCATGGACTTGGCATTCCAAGCTTGATGGTGCTTCAAGGAGGGTTTGTCTTGGTTCAAGTACCAAGGAGCCTGGCCCGCGGCGGACGAAAGGCCGGACTCGACTCCACTGGTGATGTTTTGGGAAGGGCAGAGAAACCACCGCTTTTCCACCCATCAGCCCTTGCTTGGCCTTGCTTGCAAGGCCAGCTGGTTCAGTTCTCTAATCTCATCCACCAAACTGGCACTAACGTCCGAATGACTCTCCCTCTTGATCAAAATACAAGCTCAACGCATATGTGCCAAGCACAATGCTCATCATCCAAGTTCCTTGTCCAAGGACCCTTTTGTGAAGTCTGAACTCTCTGTGTTGGTTTGTCTTCTCTGCTTCGTCCCATCCGTGATGGCTGCGGCCTTGGTGATGAACTCCGGGTTATGCGGGTTAATCATCTTTCCTGTGAACTCATCCGTCTCGGGCGCCGCGGTTCCGGCCGCTCGGGCCTTGCGCAGCTGGGGAAGCTGGAGGAATTGAATGTCCATAAAGTTATGTAAGCTGTGGACACTTTTGGTTGGGTCCTTGTTTTGGACCCAACCGGGAGATCCGAAAGAAGGTCCTTCAAGCTGGGGGGTGGCCAACATATGAGGCAAGGGCTTCCCTGTGATCGAACACTTGTCCATTGCCATCATCTAGACTCACTGTGACTCACTTCAACAGCATGTGAGTTCGAGTCTTCGCCTCCAAGACAGGTACATGTGCCGAGGCATTCACCTGTACCCTCATTGGTCAGACTGCGCAAATGACATTTTACAGCTTGTCTCCACATGAACAGGATGAGGAAGACATACCGCCAGGTGAAATCCATTCCCCAAAGAGCAATGCCATGTGTTGAGAAATCTGTTGAGATTTCTCCCCGCCGATGACGTGTTCAGTGCACGCGGATGAAAACTCCTGCCTCCTGTAGGGCCTTCTGCTTTTTGGCATCTTCTCGGGTCTGAAAGCTATCGGCCACTGCTGAGGACCTGGCAAATGTCTACCGTGCTAAGTCTCTAAGCAGTCCAATATCTCCGGCAACACCTTGCTTGTAGGCTCAATTCCGAGACAGCCCCAAAGCTCACAGCTTCTTTCCAGGTTAAAAAAAAGGCAGGATCTTAAAGAGATTCCTGGCCACATTCCTTCAACTCGGGCCCATCTTATTGTAAAATCCTCGTCTCGGCACTGTTCCTGGACTCCCCAAATGGCCAGGCCGACGCCATGAAGACCTGTCAGAGCCACAGCATCAAAGGTTGAATCAACACTAGTACAGAGCCCTGGAGAAACAAAACACCAAGTATCTCACTTGTTGTTGTTGTTGTTTTGTGAACGGTTGAGAAGTCACTTCTGACAGCATTCTTCTAAGCTCTACAGGCCAAGTTCGTGGCTAGCCCCGGATTCCTCCGCGGACTTGTCTCTTACTAAGTCTCTCATGTGAGACTCGACACGCAGCTTGAGCGCCCCTTCCTCCGCCGCCCCGCCTCCCGTGGCCCCCGAGAAGGGGCGGGTGGAACCACGTCGAAAGGGGCTGCACTGGAGAGGTGTGCGGTGAAGGTTCATGCGATGAGAATCCGTGTCCAGAAATCCCCGCAGAGATCACATCAGAACTCCCCACCTCCCCACCATGAGTTGAATTCATTGACCAACGGATCTGATCTGTGGCGAGTTGGCTCACCCAACATGGCTCAGAACACCTCTGAAGAAGGTGACCCTGGTGAATATTGTACGCTGGATGTCGCTTCTTTTGGCAGTTTGGGTGGCTCATCACCATCCCTGGGGGAGTCCAACTGCCTCAGTTGTCTATCAACACAGCTTCGCCAGAAACATCCAGGTCTCCCCTCTGTGCGACGTGGGAAAAAGGGAACCCGAGTCGTCTCGGGAACGCCACACACCAACGCCGTTGGTCACCTTTTTCTCCAAACGGATCACCGATCATCTATGAGTCGCCATTCTCAACTCCAAGGACCTTGGCCGTGCCAAACGCCCTTGGCCGTCCCACTCACGCACTCCGTGATACGAACCGAACGACCTGGAGGTTCCCGAATGGAGCCAACCCCAACTGGGCGTCGTTGGATTAGGAATTGGCTCATGAATGCTTGCTTGAAGCCCACATGTTCGTAGATACTTGCATGTGGAGTTGTCTGAGAGGCGGGGTGTGTTCCTTTCCGAAGACCGAAGCACCGGTGCTCCCTGGTGGCCCAGCTCCAACGCCCAACCGAGACGCAGCAGGGCGGAGCCATGGACGGCGTTCCATGGCCACGCAAATAAGCCCGGCCAACTCCTGCAGACTGCGTTGGGCCACTGGTTGCTGAAGTCTTGCAAAGACTGGCATGACTGGCATGACTGGCGGTCTGGGCGTCCCAACTCGCCTGTTCACACCTTTCCGTTTCCTTTCCAAGATTCCCCACCTCATCACCAATGGAGCGGAGCTCAGATAGGATCGCCTGGCAAGCTTCAGTTGATTGCTGCATGAGGTCATGCAGGGGTGCCAAAACTTGTAAATCAATCATGCCATCTTGCTCTGCTGATCGTCGAGTGGGCCTTAAAGGATGAAGACTTTGGATCAAAAATGATATCTTTTTCCCTTCTTCACATGGGCGTCAGGTCTTTGCAGAACCCAGCCCGTTAAGAGTGGTCTTTGCGAACCCAGTCGTTGCTGTTTGTGCTTTCGAGGTGGGCAGCAAAACAAATCCCGGCACCTAGACCTAAGGGAGCTGTTAGGTACAAGGACCATCAAGGACCTAGACATCCTAGACCTTCACCTCTGCTTCTAGGGTAGCAACAATGTCTACAATCTACTTGCAAACACCTTCGATCCCTTAAGATCGCTTGAGGTTTATCTCAGCAAACTCAGCACACAGCATCGGTCAAAAGCTTGGTCCCTACAGCATTTGCTCACAGCCGGATGTCGGGTCTTTGAGAAGACCCCATGAACCCATCCATCCATCCATCCATCCATCCATCCATCCATCCAGCAGCGTGCTCTCTTGCTGGAGGAAGCCCGGCCTCAAGATTCGGATTTGATCTGGCTTGCGTCTCAGGCCTGTGCCGCTGTTCGGCTCTGAAAGATTTGGGGGTCTCCATGTCAGCAAGATGTCTTCTGTGTTTTTCCCTGTTTTAGCTGCCTTGGACGCAGGAAAAACAGAGCAAAACCAGACGAACCAAATGTGAAAAGCAAGAGTGAACAAACCTCGTCCGGCGAGAAGCATCATCAAGCCACTTGGGCACGTTTACAGTTCTCGTGTTTGCTTTATGTCACGTGTTTGCATGACCCATTTGATCCAGATGCACCTTGGGACCGCTTCTGGGGCCTGGCAGGCACGGAGCGACAGGAGTGATAGTGGCGTTGCTTGCAGAAAGGCATCCAAATATTGGCACGTGCACATCCTGAAAAAGTATGAAATGCATTCAGCTAAGGCTTTCAGGCTTTCGGTTGGTTCTGTTTTTGCCCTTACCAGACCAGGGTTCTGCACATGCCTAGCATTGCGACCATGAAGCAATTGAATTCATTACCTCGAAGGCCCCCAAAAAAACAACGTGGCTGACCAGTTCGGCACAATCGATGGACGAAAACTGCTGCCCATGGCGATTTGCAACTGCAACAATACGGTCTTCTTTCTGGAATTCATTTACACATCTAGGCTTCCCAAAAGGATGACATGTTCCTTTCTGTCACGTCTATCTGCTCAATCGACATGTTTTAAAATATAGAAGTTGAACCCGGTTCAGCAAATGGGCCAACGACCTACACTGGTATGAATTGATCCGAACGCTCCATAATATAGAACTATCCCATGCACTTGCAAAACCTGGGCAAACCAGATCAAACACGAACCGCCTCAGTCATGCAAAGCCCCACACAGCCTTGGGCGGGGGCACCAGCGGAGGAATCTCTTGTCCACACCTGCGGCTGAAGGAGTTGTTTCAGGAGGAAAAGGGTGACTGGGAGGTCCAGATGTGGAACTACTGCTCCCAACAAACACCGTGAGATAGCGATTTGGGTGCCCAGCGATTCATGCCTTTCTTGCCAGACTTAAGGGCTGGAGCCCCTGCCCACCCTTGCCCCACTCGTGCATGCAAGAATGGTCGTCCTTCAAGCGAATTTCCTTCACTACTACATACTACTACTGTAATCATTTAAGTAGCAACTCCACCTCTCTAGAAATCCAAGCCACTTGAGCTCAAGAAGCCATGCGCAAATCGGGCAAGTGTCTTGCAATTCTCCCATGCTACACATTGTTTGGTAAGCCAAACTCGAAGAGTCCGCCTTTTCCTCACGTGGATGGTGAGTTGGGTCTTGAATTTTAGCTCCTCAGGGGCCAAGGGCTGGGCAAGGCCCACAAAGAGTTTCTTCGCAATCATTTAGGTGGCTGTGGAATACCCAACAGCACAAATGGCAGGTTGATATCGCTGGCAATCCTTGTGGTTTCCCAGGTGTTATTGATAAACTTTATTCATCCCGGCAGATGCCACTCGGATCAGTATGTGTATACTACATGTGCATATATATATATATGTACATGTGTGTGTACATAAGCAGCTTATGTTCAGGGATTTAATTGCTCATGATCCTCTTGTACCAACCAAACGATGCTTCAATACACACAAGAACTCTGCGGAAGCACCCTTTCATCCAGGTTATCTCGTACCGATGGAGTGGCACTCACCTACGAATCTTGTATGTGCCTTGTATAGAAGACAATTGCAAACCACAAACATCGCAAAGAAACCGTTTACTCAACTCTTCTGCCGGTCACACCTAATTAGCAGAATTCACATGTGTAATTTCATTGACCCGGTATACTTTACTGTTGTTGCTATTCGGTTTCACTTTCATGTGTAGGTCACTGTCTTTCTCCAATCTGTTTAGTGGATATGCACCAATACACCCCAACACCCGTGTTGGTGGCGTGAATGGTTTGTCGGCGGCGCGTTCAGCTGAAATTTGAAGGCCATGATGTCAAAGCATCGTGTTCAAGCCGACGCTCTTCAAATCTTGTCATGAGTGGTGTCGAGTCGAAGACATCGAGTCCTTGATCATAGCTACTGTATCACCAGAAACGTTGTTCACCTGGAAGTCAGATCACACGAGTCGCCGGCCGCACAAAAAGTGCAAACCAAAAGAATGGCTCTCGATCATAGATGCTTCAGCTTGCATATGCAAAATGGCACTTCCTGGTTTGTTTAGGAAACTCACCATCCAGTGACTCGCCAGCAACAATTGAAACGATGTTTACCAAACCTTGAGAAAAGAGCGCCATCTTGGGCCTGGAAAATGAAGTCACCCGCACAAATATGCTTGAAGGGCTCGTTCTTGGCATTCCAATCGGCCACGAGGCCATCCTGGCGCTCAGGCCGCCGGTGCCGGTTGCATTCGTTTCATTTCACCAGTCGAAGGAGGGGTACAAGGCTGGCGCCAGGGTCGGAACCAAATACACCATGGGGTCCTTCAGGCATGGGTCATCTATGCGGCAGGCGGATCTTTGGGGAAAGAAACCTACGAACGGAGCAAGGACGCTACCAGAGGCTCCTGCCCTTACTACTAGGAACACGAACGCTACTAGGAGCCCCTGGCCTTACTACTAGGGGCTCCTGGCCGTACTACTTGGCGCAAGGACGCTACTGGGGGCTCCTCGCCTTACTACTAGGAACACGAACGCTACTAGGGGCTAGCTCTTGGCCTTACTACTAGGAGCAAGGACGCTACTGGGGGCTCCTGGCCTTACTACTAGGAACAAAAAGCTACAAGGGGCTCCTGGCATCGCTACTAGGAGCAAGGACGCTACTAAAGGGCTCCTGGCCTTAGGGGCTCCTGGCATCGATGCTACTAGCTGCTCCTGGCCTTACTACTAGGAAACAAAAAAAGAACGGAGCAAGCACGCTACTGGGGTTACTAGGGGCTCCTGGCCTTACTACCAAAAACAAAAAGCTACTAGGGGCTCCTGGCATCGCTACTAGGAGCAAGGACGCTACGGGCTCCTGGCCTTACTACTAGGAACAAAAAGCTAGAGGCTCCTAGCATGGCTACTAGGAGCAAGGACGCTGCTAGGGGCTCCTGGCATCGCTACGAACGGAGCAAGGACGCTACTTACTAGGGGCTCCTGGCCTTCCTACTAGGAACAAAAACTACTAGGAACAAGAAGCTACTAGGGGCTCCTGGCATCGCTACTAGGAGCAAGGACGCTACTAGGGGCTCCTGGCCTTCCTACTAGGAACAAAAAGCTACTAGGGGCTCCTGGCATCGCTACTAGGAGCAAACGCTACTTGGGGGTGCTGGGCTTACTACTAGGAACAAAAAGCTACTAGGGGCTCCTGGCATAGCCAAGATGCTACTAGGGGCTCCTGGCCATACTACTAGGAACAAAAAGCTACTAGGGGTTCCTGGCATCGCTACTAGGAGCAAGGACGCTACTAGGGGCTCCTGGCCTTGCTACCAGGAACAAAAAGCTACTAGGAGCTCCTGCCATCGCTATTAGGAGCAAGGACGCTACTAGGGGCTCCTGGCCTTACCACTAGGAGCAAGGACGCTACTAGGGGCTCCTGGCCTTGCTACTAGGAACAAAAAGCTACCAGGAGCTCCTGGCATCGCTACTAGGAGCAAGGACGCTACTAGGGGCTCCTGGCCTCACCACTAGGAGCAAGGACGCTACTAGGGGCTCCTGGCATCGCTACTAGGAACAAAACGCTACTAGGAGCTCCTGGCATCGCTACTAGGAGCAAGGACGCTACTAGGGGCTCCTGGCCTTACCACTAGGAGCAAGGACGCTACTAGGGGCTCCTGGCCTTGCTACTAGGAACAAAAAGCTACGAGGAGCTCCTGGTATCGCTACTAGGAGCAAGGACGCTACTAGGGGCTCCTGGCCTTACCACTAGGAGCAAGGACGCTACTAGGGGCTCCTGGCATCGCTACTAGGAACAAAAAGCCTGGCATCGCTACGAACGGAGCAAGGACGCTACTAGGGGCTCCTGGCCTTACCACTAGGAGCAAGGTCGCTACTAGGGGCTCCTGGCATCGCTACTAGGTCTGATAATGATGCTTGCGAATGCATCTATCAAAGCGAAACACGAACAGTCCATGGCGCCATCTTTTCAAGGACTAGCAAATTGGCTCATTCGGCCGTCTTGAGGTCGGCGTTCGGTGAAAGAAAGCTCAAAAGGGGCACAGCTGTTAACAGTCAAATCGCAAACTTCTCACACTGGTCTTTGTTCCAAGCAGCTGTGTCCCTGGCCTCTACCAACTGCGCCCACGGCTTTTGTAGCCAGCGCCTCATCCGGTCCATCAGGAGCGGGTCGATTTTCGTGAGAGCATCTGCGTGCTGCAGATTGGTAGGAAGCCACCTCACTGAAGAGGGAAGGAACTCTTGCTGCGTGGATCTCACTTGCACCATTCACCTTTTGTCGGTCAGAGCTGGGTTCTTGGACTTCCAGTACTGCCTCTGGGGTTCTCGGAAGGAGTTCAACAGGGTCTGGGCAGGGTGAAAACTATGTCGGGTAACTCGGAGCTGCGTGCGTCAACGCAGAGCAGTGCATTCATCTTTTGGGTTCCTCTGTATGCTGGCTTTCCATCAAAGAGAAGCTCAGTGAGAAACAGGTTGACGAAGGCACTGCGGTCACTGCCCTCGTCTGCAGCGCATGCTTCGGCTGCCAAATTTGAGCGGCAGATGCGCGGGCTTCTGCCGGACTTGTAGTCCAAAAGGTGCCCGTAGCAGGTGGTTTGGGTCACCTGTGGAGGACACAGCATCACGACCACCCCGTACTGGGACTTGTGCTGGTCTGCATTTGCCCAGCTTGAGTCTGTGTAGGTCACGATGGTGGTCTGGCGATCTATCGGGATCGCAGGATAGACGATCCCATCGGAACTGGTGGCTTTCACAAAGCCCAAGACATCATACAGGCGCTTCAGGTCTTGCACCTGTGAGGCATTGCCGTGATGTGACAGGGACGTCACGGCGCACAGCTCCGGCCTTGTCTGGCCGCCCAGCCACTGCAGGCATCCGCATATGCTGCGGAATTCTTTCATTTCCTCTTCCGTCAGGCTTTGGTCGTCCCGGCCTCGAGTCTTGACTTGGCCTTCTTGAAGGTTCTCGACAAAGGCTTCTTGGCTCGCCTTGTACATGTACTGGCCCTTGTCGTCCAAGATCATTTGGATCTTTTTGCCACGGTACTCTCCGGGCTCCTGGGTCGTGACTTTCGTGACTGAGCCCCATGAAAAGAGTCCCTGCCAGACGTCCAGGTCGAACGTTTCAGAGTAGGTGGCCATGAAATCGTCTACATGGACGATGAGGATGCAGTCCAAGAGGTTGTCAGAGCCGCGGTGGCTGTAGAAGCACTTGTCGAAGCTATGCTGCTGGAACTTGGCAGCTTTGACCGTGGCATCGACTTTATTGAACCAAACACGAGGAGCGTTGGCTAGACCATATCAATTTCCGACCACTTCATACAGCTCGCACGGATATGCCCCGGCGTCTTTGATGATGGGGTCGGACGGAGGCTCCATGAAGATTGGAAGTCCTTGCCTCTCCGTGCTATCTTGCTGGCCTTGCAAGAATGCCTTTTCGGCATCACTGATCCACATGTGCCACCTTCTGCCGTCTTGGTTGAACTGACAGTTCGCTCCGGCCGTGGCTATCGACATCACCACCATTTCTGACAGCCTTGTTGGAGTAGGGCTATCTCTGGTCAACTGCTTCAGGTCCGGGTCTTGGCACCCGATCAGGACCGTGCGCGCCTTCGCACGTAGCTGGCCTTGACCTTTGCTTTTGTCTTTGTAAGCCACGCGGGACTTGAGAATCCGCCGGCGTAAGACAGGGTCGTTCCGGATCTCTTGGATGCGCTTCAGGGTGAGTGGCTTGATGGTGGACCACTGCATCCATCCGGTGTACTCGTGAGATGCTGCTTCGACAAACTTGTCGTATGCAGCCTTTGGCATTGCAACGATCTCACGCCATGGCAGTTCACGATCCAATTGCTTGATCTCCTGCCTTGTGAGATGCCTGGTGTTGGACTTCATGAGGTCATCGTCACTGCTCTCACTGTCGGACCGAGCAGGGTCGTGGTGGATCTGGTCTGCTGCTAGGTCTTGCTTGCGCTTGCTGCTGGCCAGATATGCTTTGTAGCACCTTTTGCTTGGCGCCAGTGGACTTTGCAAATCGGGACTGCCATCCCAATGAGGGGCCCGAAGTGTCATGGTGTTGTCGTCAAAGATGTCAAACTGCGTGTATAGGCTGTCTGCTGGGGCGGAAGCTGTGGTCGTTGGCACGCCATCTGCTTCAGCCGTGGCGGTTGGTTCTGGAGGTGCTGCATGAGGTTCTGCTGTTGCTTCTGCATCTGCCGATGTTTGTAGGTCTTCCAGCGCAGGTGTCTCCGGCGCTGGTCTTTGTTCTGCGTCCGAGGCTGGTCTTTGTTCTTTGTCTGCCAAAGGCTGGGTGTCTGGTCTGCCTCTGGAACGTGAGCGTCCTCTGGCCGCTCGAGGAGTTGGTGGCATGGGTCCAAAATGGACGTTTGGCCCAAACTGCTGGTATGTGGGTGAATCCACATGCACATTGATCAGTCTTTGATCAGTGTTGTGGATGTTGATGTTCTGCTGTGCTGCCTGCTGATGCACGTTGGTGCTGTGAAACTGTGGCTGCTGTGCGTTGTCTGCGTTTGCAGATGCTGCAGCTGCCGGTATGGTTGCCAGTGTGAATGGCTGTGCTTGTTCAGAGAATTGCGCCGTCTCCTCCTGCATGTCATCAGCATCTCGTGCAGCTGATGCCTGAGTTGCAGTGCTTTGCTCAGGGTGGTGGAGTCTGGCGGCTTTGAGTGGCCTGAACTGAAAGATCTCATCTTCCATGGAGGCCTTGACGTCTGGCTCTGGTGCGTCTCCGGTGTCATCCATCCACATGTCTGTCGACATGTTGTGTTCTGCTTGGCGGATGAGGTCAATGTCTTCCTGTCTGGGCGTCCAATTCTCCCATCCAGCTGCTGGGCGGAGTTGGGCTGTGCCAACTCTGATGGAGTGCTTGCCGACCTGAAGCCAGGCAGACTTCCGGTCGGGGTCCCATGCGAGGAACCTGGAGAGCTGCCATGCTCCCCTTTTGTGTTGCCGTGCTTTGCCGGCTTGTCGCCAGTATGCTACTGCTTGCCCAGGTTGTAGGTGTGATAGGTCCTGCTGGTTGCATGTCTTTCTCAGCAGTGATCGTCTCACTGCCTGTGAAGCTGAGAATTGTGCAAGTGCTGTGAGTGCTTCAGCTCGCAGGAGTTCGGGTTGTAGTCCAAGAAGTTCGGGGTTGACCTGTGGAGACATGGCCAGTGCTTGCTGGTCGGAGATCAGGTCTCCGATGGGCCGTGGGACTCTGCCAAAA